CTCTGCGGGGCCGCGGGCGGCGGCGGTGGCGGAGCCATCCCGGCCGCTGCCCCTTCCCCTTACCCCGCCGTGCTCCCAGCGCTGGCCGGGGTGTCGCGGTAGCACGTGGGAAGGGGTAGGGCCGGCGCCTGGCTGGTGCTGCCGAGACTGCAGTCAGGCTCCTTTCTGCACGGAAGGAGAGGGGAAGAGCAAATAATCCGGAGGTATTGCTGAAATCCTTCTCTAATCCCCCGTGCTCGTGTATTTCTAGTAGCTGCGCTCACATCATGCAAGAGGTGGTGTTTTGCCTCTCCTCTCAATTCCGTTTTTGATGGCTATTACTGACGTGCACAGCAACCTTTTTTTTCTCCTTTATGAAGGTAAGGAAGGTTGTGTAGATGTACTCCTGTAGCCCCGAAAGTTGGCAGTGAGAAGTGTATAGGGAGATGACAGCAGCTTCTTGAACAGCACGCACACAGAGTGAAACAGTCCTGTGGCCTCACTTCCAAAAGTTCTAGTGCTGCTGTTGTTTGCAGCAGGTCTTCTGAATTCTCCAGGGAAAAAACCCGTGGGCTGGAGTGACGGCTTTCTTTTGTTCTGTCAAGTTCTGCTCAGATTTGGCTGAGGAGCTTTTCATAATCCTTGTTTCCCGTTTGCTGATTGTGTTGTTAATATGCCAAAATAAGTGTGTGTTAGTGTACTAATCCAAAACCGGGCCTCTGCTGCTGTAGCAACAGCATCACCTTGCTCGTGCTACCACTTCAGGCAAGAGATCTATCTCCCTCTGCTTTCTCTAGAGTCGGTTTGTAGCACTTGATGGTTAAGTCCTTTCCCTGGACAGCTGCTGCCTTCTGCTCTGTGTTAATGTCCTACACCTTAACTTGTGCTGTGACCTGGAGGGTTAAGGTTCATGTGTCCCTGCTGATGAGGATGTTAGTTATGCTTATTTATGGTTTTCCCCTCTCCATCTCTCTTGTAAAAGTACAAAAAAATCATTAAAAGAACTTTGGTTAGTAAGCAAGTTAAATACCTGAAAGACTGAAAAATACATTGGCAACTTTAATCTCTCTTCCACTCTATATGCATGTAAATATGTGTGCATTATTTCTCCATAGTGGTTAAGTTTCATCTGGAGAAGAAATAGGTAGATTTGTGGAGTCTGTCTCATTCTTTTCCAAAGTTAGAAGGTATTAGAGAACAGGAGAATCCCAGCAGAAGGGACAGAGGCTATGCAAAAGCAGTTACTTTGCTTCTTGAATGTTCTTTCTTTTGCACAAGATTCTTTTACTCAGTTAACTTCTTAAATTTGGATATTTCCCTTGCCTCACACTTTGATGTTAGAATTCTAATGAGCAAAATAAGTGCTGAGTTTAACTAGCAATATCTTTTTGGAAACTTTCTGGGCAAGATTTCTGCACGTTTTTGGATTTTTTTTTTACCTAGGTCTTAAGGAGTGTCTTGTAGTACCTTTGTGAAGAAGAAAGGATATGTCTATTAGTCTTCAAGTGAGCTCCTGTGGCTGCTGTGCATTTCATCTTTGTAACAAACCTATGCTTTGTATTCGGGCCAGCTGAACTAAAAGTAACAAAATTTCCTTCATATTGGTGGGCCTGTTTTTTTGGTGAGCTCTGTCTCAAATGAGGAAAACACTGTTTGCCTCTGGCAGTGGCATCCTGTGGTATAGAGACGGGAGCAGGGAATCATTTATCTAGCGATGGTTATACTGGTGACAGTTCTCTTCCAGTTTCCTTATCTGCACAATAAGAATAGAGGTAACTCGAGTATTTGTTGGTGAAATGGTTAGATTTTTATAAGGAGTAAGTATTCCTGAACAGACCACAAATAAACAAGTAGTTACACTATTAAGTGAGGGTCACAGAGAAATCCTCTGTGAGCTGTCCTGAGTGTCTGGGCACTGTCTAGTCTCAATACTGAATGAAGGAAGAAGACTGAAAAAGTCTTGTACTATAACAGGTCTAAAACAGGCCAGGAGAGTTAAAGTCGCAGCAGAGCTCTAGATTCTGACTTACTTTTCAATAGTTCTTTGAGGTGACACTTGGTGTCTTGTTTTAATTTTATTATGATCTGTTAATGCTACTTGAATCTAAAATACCCTGCAAACCTTTACAGTCTGTGAACATCTAATTGAGTAGACTGCTGTTGTTTACCAAATGCCAAACATTAATCTAAGCTGTTAATGTGAAATCATGATTAAAACCTGATAGGTTTAAACTTAAGGCATGAGAACAAGTGAGGCAATGAGGTAAAATTCTAATTGGTGTAGTTACAGCTTTTCATATAAAACTTTAGGTGGTGGTTCAGGTGGTTGGTTGAGTAGTCATTCATACCTGGTTCAGATTTGGTTACATAGGTGCTGGAAGGTAGGTGGTGTTTAGTTTGTTTGTTGAAGTTTAAGCTTTTTATTTATCTATTCAGAAGCATCTCTAGCAGAAAGTGTAGTAGTTTTCCAAAAGTCCTATGGGGTGGAGTAATTTGTTGGAGTGACAGATTCGTTGCAAATATGATCTTTTTAGGAGCGTGCTTTATTGACATAGCTGTAACGCTCTTACAAAACCTTGTTTTAGCTGAGTCACTATTGTCACGGGCTGTGGAATGTGTTTGTATGGGAATGTTCAGCTGTAGTCTTTGAGGAAAAAGTAACAGCATCAAGCCTACTGACATTTGGAAAAGGCAGTCTAAATGATATTAGAGATCAGAAATTGATGACTCATTATAATATGTCCTAAAACCCTGCACAAAAGTGTAGTGCAGTTCTTCATTCAAGTTAAAAACGTATTGAAAAAGCTGGTATGACATGCTCATTATGAGATACATTCCAGCTTCCTGTCATCAACTGTTTGAGATAGGTGAGGTTTTGTTTAGAAAATATTTTTTTTTAAAAAAACTGTATATTTTTTACTATTTTTATTGGTTTTAAAACCAAGCAGCTTGGAAGGAGAAGAGGCCTAATAGTACTGCAAAAAATGTCTTTCATCTGGTAAGAAAGTGAAATAACTGAAAATAGAATAGGTTAAAGTTAATACTGCCTTTGTTCTTGTTCTCCTATTCTTTGTGTTCTACTTTTAATGTTTTGAAATATTTTAGGACAAACTCCATCTTTTCTACTTTAATATTATCTGATGCAGTGGGGGGTGGGAGGGTGTGTTAAATTTTTTGTGTGTGTAATGTCTACTTTTGCTGTACAGTGGTCAGGCTATCTACTAGCAAGGGTGTATTTTTAATAGAAAAAATAACTTTATATGTTCAGTGTACATAACATCTGCATTTCAGTCTGGAATTTTGGAGAGCAGTTGTGCTCCCATTCCATTTACTTTAAAGTTGTTTTCTTATTTTGCTATGGGAACTGGTTAAACTTGTGTAGTAAGACCTGAAACAGTATATTAACAAGATTTTTGGCCTGATCTCCGTAAACATACAGAGGTCAGGAATTCTGCGGCAACATGTAAGAATTAAAATATTATGTAAGAAGAAGGATTTATTTTTGGCTGCTTTTGGGTGGCTAAAGCTCCCTACTGTAATATAGAACGCATTATTTTTTCCAGTAGTTCTTTTTCTGATTTCTGAGAAATGGCTTCTTTTTTTCTTTTTTCTTTTTCTTTTTTTTTCCTGAAGGATTTGAGATTATATCTGGGGATAAGGATATCATTGTTCCTTTGGGTATATCACCTTGGTTCAACTTCTGTTAAGTTTTAGTGATAATCTATGGGTATGAACACAGGGAAGAAGCAACTTGTTTTAGTAAAGAACGTTTTAATATTAAGCAACTGCTTAATAAGTTCTGATGTCCAAAGACTGAAGCTGGACAAATTTAACTAGACTAAAATACAATTTGTAAAATAATCAAACTTTAAATTTATTTAGTTGGGTTTTTTTATTAATTCTCCAGCTGTTGCAATCTTGAATTCAAGTTTGGTTTTTTTCTTAAGTGGTTCCTGGTGGGCCAAACCAAAGAATTAAATGAAGTGGGCCAGAATAACTTTTACTAATCTCTTCTAGCCTTAAATCTAAATAACCATCCAGTGTGATGTAGCAGCTACCAGTATGCTAAAATGACAGAACTTAGATTGCGCTTGCACAGTCTGTTAAAAAGTTCATTTTTCCATAAAACCTGAAAAAATATTTGAACATTTGTAGCTCCTGATAGTGTAAGCACGTGACCTTTTCAGAGGATTGTACGTATGGAAAGCAATCTGTGCACCTGAAATGAAACCTTACTTCTGATCTCATTTCTTGCAGAGTCTGCAGCAGTCGAGGAGTCACACTGAGTTCAAGTTCAGAAGTGCTTTACACATGAAATCTACTGGCTCTCTAGCTGATTCTGCCCTGTCACCATCTCCACAGGTAGAGTGCTTTTGTGCCCGAGCCATGCAGCAAGTGTAGCTGTTCCTGGTGTGGTTGTCCTGTGTCAGTGTGTGGCCAAAGGCACTTGGAGGCCTTTGGATTTATTCTTTGAGGAATGTGTCAAGAAGACAAGAATGCATGGCAGATCTGTCACAAAAGTACTCTAAGGAAAAGCATAGTGGTTTTGGTTTTGGTTTTGATTTTTAACACTCAGAGTTTAATAGTTGATAGAAGAAAGCGTTCTGTCATTCCATCAGAGTTTCTGTTCTAAAATGGAACAAAGCCAGACACCTGGGATATCAGTTGAGGGTCCACTTCAGTCAAAGCAGTGTTTTGCTTTGGGTCGTTTTCCCCTTGGATTCTATTTTTTTTGCCTGCAGTGATTTGGGAGGAAATATTTAACTGAATTCTCTGAATGAGAGGAAGATGGTTTGCCATTAGGTAGAAAGGAACTCCTGAAGTGTTACTTGAATGCAAAATACAGGTCAGCTCCTGTAATAGGATGTTCAGGTCAGGAGTAGACATGGAAAAGCTTTTCTTTATAAGGTTGACATCAAAAAGTTGAACTTCCTTGTAATTTTAATACTATTTTTTTCTGTAGTTAGAAATTTTTGTTTTGGTCTGGTTTGTTTTTGAGGTGGATGGCTAACTTTAATTCATGCTTCAAAAGGCAGTTAGTACATACTCCTTCGATGCTAGATCACTGATAAAACTAGAATCTTTCCAGAAGTACCTATCCCCCCGAGGTTTTTTTTCTTGCAATAAGAAGCCATATTTTGAGCCTGACCTTTTTCTGCCTCTTTTGTGCAATGCATGTAAATTGCTGTAGACTATGATGATAATGGTACAAGTAGCATACTACTTGTATAGTGGTTTGTGCTTTAGTAATTGAAGCTTCTTCTCATGTGTTCAGTGATTAACAAAAAAAAATGTAGACTCATTCTATCATGTCCAATATGTGCAGTCACTGCCAGGCAGGGAAGATGCTCTCTTCTTTGTTGTAGATTAATTTATGTTTGAGAATGCAGTGAAAACTTGTCTATCCAAATGTTTTGAATATAGTTTTAACTTCTCTGATCTGCCTGGATGTAACAGAAGCCAGGGTTGTCCTGATGAACTTGGGGGTGAGGGGTGGTAATTTGTATCCCATAAGGTTGAGATTTTAAGTGTGGCATCTGAAAGGATTCTGCTTCCTAAAAGTATGTCTGATGTAAACTAGTTTGAAGAAATACAAGGTTTCATAAGGTTCCTGTCAGGAACTTCTATTTGAAATCAGAAAAATTATATTAAAAAGTACAATTGCCTAGTATAAAAGATCTTAAAATATGGCCACGTGTACTACTATATTACCTGTGCAACTGAAGCACATACCTTTAAATTTGTCACCTCTTAGTCATGTTATTTCACATTAATAACTAGCAGTTTGTAATGTTGTTTGTTCTTTTGAATTTACCATTTTAAAGAGCAGTTGGAAATTAGCATAGCTTTAGATTAACTTTCCTGTGTGTCCCTGTTTCCTGTGTTCCCAATGCTATGGAGAGACATTTAAGCAGGATTTGACGTACACATCTCCCTAATGTGAGGATAATGGCTGCACTGGCTTTGGAGAAGCCTCAGAGTGGGGCTATTTAACCTTAGACTTTGTGGAGTCTTGATGAGTAGAGTTAGAGCTGCCTTTTGTTGCTTACTGCAAGCAGGGATGGCAACTAGTGGTGGCATTTGCCATTCTCCAGTTGAAATGGTGTTGAGACATCTTGCTGAGCCTCCAGTTCATGTTTTTCATCAGTTATTTGAAAACACTTAAATCAAAACAGATCTCGAACCAACCAACTGAAACACCACCACCCCCAGACTCAAAAAGGGAGATTAACATGGGAAGTTAATGTGGCCATGCTATTGCAGTAGCAGACTGAGGTGTTGGGTTTTAGGTACAAAAGTTGGTACACTTTTTGTGCAGGATAGGGATGACAAGACAAGAAAAGCTTACCTTCTAGAAGACTTCAAAGCTTGGTTAAAGCGTTTGATAGTTAGACCTGTGAGTCAAGGTGAATTATAGTTATTCTCCCATACTTGGTAGGATATTAAAAACTAAAATAGCTTATTCAATAATTATCTATAGTACTGCCAATTCAATTTTGACAGAATATTCTAAAGCAAGTTGGTGGGGGTTTTTTTAATAATACTACACTCTGTATTCCCTACCCCTTATTTTTCCCTACCCTTTTTTTTAACCATCTATCACTTAAATCTCTCTCTCACTTGGCCATTTCCTGTCTGAAAGTTTTTGCGTCTTACCAGACTTGTTAGCCACTCTTTTAGCTGGAGACCTGGTTAAAGCTGGAAGATTCAGAACTACGGCAGTCTCTTCTACAATCTCTATAACAAAAAGGAATTATTTAGAGTGGTTTGCATATGTTTCGCTGCTTGTGGGTGGATTTGGATGCTCCTGGGAGTTTAAACCTGTAGTACTGCTTATGTCTCTCTCTATTCCTCTACTTCCTTGAACCAGTAATTTAAGAACCTGTTGGCCTATTTAGTCAAATTAGATAGAGGGAAGAGTCTCAAAGATAGTTGAGCTTTATAGCTTTGCTGAATAAAAGGTAGCTAGTAGTGGAGGGTTCCAATAGCAGCAATAGTTGCTGTGATTTCCTGTCTTACTGGCATGGAAGAATTCATGTAGGGGAGAGTAAGTAAGCAGAGCAGACTGTGGGTTTGATAATACTAAGTAAGGCTCCTTCTACTTTTTAGTGTAGAAGAAAGTGAGAGCTCACTTGCAGCTGAAGTATTGTGTGGTGACCGTTTGAAACCCTTATTATGCTATTTTAATGTTTGTGTTACAACAGCAACTGAAAATCATGTGGCTGTAGCAGCTGGAATTTTAATCCTTTTAATTATGACAGATTTTTAAAGCATGTTCTGGCTGATTTGGTCAGCTGACTGTATAGTATGTACAATAACATCAAGTGATTGCACAAATTCTGAGAGCAGTGGTCACCTCACTGGAACGGGATGTATTTTTAGGTTTCTCTGCTAGTAACAGTCAAGTGTGTGTACTTAAGCATCTCATATGAACTGAAGCGAGTTGCTGACACTACACTATGAGAGAAAAGCACAGCTGTTCGTTCTTGCTGTAGTCATTGGTCTCTGACCAAACTGTGGTGAGGAACACAATGGGGTATAAACACTGTAAATATTATTGATACGTGTTTTAATGACAGGTATTTTTCTTTCAGGTCAGTGAAAAAAAGTGAAAGTTATGTCTTGTAAGCAGGACACAGAATTTTAGTGAATATCCTGCTGATGGTCTACTGATGTCCAAAGAGATTTTAAATTACATATGTCGTTAAGGAGCCAAAGGATTTAAATTTTAAGAGAAATGGTAACTAATAGCAAACTTTTTAGTGACCAAAAAAATTCTAATTTACAGAAACTGAGAGAATAGGTTCAGCTGTTTAATTGATCACATCCATAATTGCTTCTTTATAAAAACAGTTGCAAGCATCTGTTACAGAACTAAATTAGCATCTACCTATTGGTAAAACATGGCATTTTAGTGTCTGCTCTGTCTTTCATATGCTGTCTTTTAGTGATCTTTGATGTTTTCACCACGTTTTGTCTCCTTCTTACACACTTCAGAATGTCATTTGCTTATATGAAATCATTAAGTTTTGATGAATATTAGCTAATGTGTGAAAGAAGTCCAGGAGCTCGAGAAAAGCCACCATCATCATGCAACTCAGGTTTCACAATCTGACTTGTAAAGACCAAGATAGCGCGGTAGGGAGGAGGATGTTTTACTGTCTTAATAGAATGTTCTTCTGTGTAAGCTCACATAGGCTATTTAAAGGTAGTATTTAATGATGGCTGGCTAGTTCAGGGTATGTCTGCACAAACGGGGCAGGCAAACCCGAGCTCAGGCGTGACTGGGTGCTGAGCTGTGGGCATGCAGGGCAGCTTTGGTCCAGAAGCAACAGAAGGGTGTGTAGCAGCGTGCGCGAGCTCACTCACCTGCCCTCTGCTCTGCTCGAGAAGCGGCTCGCTTCTGGCCGTCTGAAAGCAAGCAGGGTGCAGAGCTTTTTGCAAAGTAGGTAAACAATATGTGTGGGGTTTTTTTAAACATAATTGTGATGATTAAATTAAGCCTTACTGCTTCCAGACTGCTTGTTTTCTGTGAGCAACACTGTGTTTAGATAGATGAATCAAGGGCTGGGCTTTATGAGGGCTCTTTGCATTATAAACTAGCAATTGTCTTTTTCAGGGCTGTTTCCATTTTGTGTTAGCACTTCAAAATACACACATAACCTGAGAGCTTCCTTTTGATCTCTGCTCACCTGTTGACTTGCAGAGTAGGGTTTGGTTTCAGTATTGATGCAAAACTGAAATTTTCTTTGGTCTAGCAACAGGTAGGCTGCTGTGTTTGTCAGGAATTCCTTAGAGAGGGCTTTGTGGGAAGAACTAAAAATACCTTAGAGAAGTCAAATAATTTTCTGCTTTTCATTCTTTACTGAATATGTTTCAGCTCTTTGCAGTAGATGCTAACTGACTTAATATGCAAGTTGAAAGCTGCTTGGGTGCCAGAAAGGCTTCCTAAAGTGTTGGGCAAGTTGGTCAGTCAGAGTTCAGTGACTGATGGGCTTGACAATTTATTTGAAACTTACTTGTTACTCACTATATAAATACTAAGTTATGGTGGGGAAAATTCAGCTGTGTTTTGCCTGCTAAGCATAGCGCATATGCTTCTTTGTTAGAAGTGTTCAGGAGAGTGGGTGGCTAAAATATTTGAGTTATCCAAATTACGATGGATGGGGGGATGAGGACTTATTGCTGCTTAAAGCTGGCATGAATTTCAAAGCATTAAAAGAATACAAGTGAGTGAAGTTTGACATAGATTTCTATTTAAATGCTTTAAATAATTTAAAGTGAAGTGTCTAAAAAGGCTGTTTTGTTTCCTCTTGCCTTCAGTTTGAACAAAAGGAATAATACTTATCAGTTGTTTTTACAGTTTAGAGTACCTTTATTTTAAGAAGTTTTAATGCATTAAAACTGAAGTGTTTAGTCTGAAGACAATGCATGAGACCACTTTTTAGCTAGTAGAATAAAATAAGGTACCATTTCTATTAATCTTAAATTCTGTAAGCATTTTATTTTTCAAGAAAATTGCTGCAGGGTGGGGAGTGAGGAAAGGATGGAACTGAGCAATGTATTTTTGACATAGTCATTCTCTGATACCTCTGAACAGTAATCACTAATGCTATCACTTCTGAGAGGGAGTTTGTTAGAGCGTAGGGGAGAGCTTGGTCACTTGTGTGGGCTTGCACTCCAGCTAGTGAGCAGTTCCAGAGCCTACAAAGATGCAAAGTTCACTCTCTTCTTTTTTTTTTTTTTTTTTCTTTTTTTCCCCACCTCCCCCCCTTTTTTTTCTCTGTACCACAATAAAGAATCAAATTTTTTATTTGTGTCAGTTTGTTAAAACAGATTATGCAGTGAATTTTATTTGGATGTTTATTGCTGTTTGGCCTTGTTCTGTAGAGTTGTTGTGTTACCCTTACACTTTGAACTGCTGGTATTGTAATCATGCTGGCCATAGGATACATTTAAAAAATTACCTTTTGTGCATTGAACTGGAGGTATAGATAGGACCATGTTGGATACTAAAGTTTTACATAAAAGTTTTCAATGACATAAAATGACTTATTTAATGTGTAGTATAATTGCTACCCTTATGCAACAACTACTGTTAAAATAATGGAGGAGCTATAGGTGAAGAAAAAAAGAAGAGTGAAGGGCTGTTGCAAAGGACTGCTGTCTGGCAGAAGCATGGAGGGAGGGAGAACAGGACATGACAGGGGGTTGAGATACACACTGAGGGCAGCAGATTGCCTTAAACAGAACTGCATGAAGAGGGTGTCAGAAATTTAGGTGGTAGCAAGCAGGCCAGGGAATAGGTTTCCTCTGTTTAATTTAGAGAACTGGAGATGAGGGTGAATCTGCCTTCCTTTATTTCATCTCCCTCCTCTGTAGAGTTACGTGGTTCATGATTTTACTTAGAAGGCCATAGACAGTGATCATCCTTGTCTTTTACAGCATCATCTATTTGCAGTGGGCAGGGGAAACAGCTATTCCAGAGGGAAGGATTATACAGCGTTTTTACTTAAGTTGCATATATTATACCTGGTGAATAAATGCATAGGCTGTGTCTTGAATGCTGATACAAATATGTATATTTAATTTTCAGGTGAACTTTTAAACACCATTTCTTTGAGATAAAATGTCACATACTTTCTCTTTTAAAATGGCTACTGATCAGTTCCCATTGTGTTATCGTATATCTCTCTGTACACACACAGCATGCAAAACTGCAAATAACTTAGTAAATATTAACAATATTGAGTTAATGTTCTATGCTTTTGTCTCCTTTCTCTTCACTCAGAATTGGATTTACAGTCATGGAGGAACATCAGCAACATTTACACTGTGTGAACTGTGTCAGCCGTCGTTGTATGACCAGACCAGAGCCTGGCATTTCCTGTGATTTGGTTGGCTGCCCCTTGGTTTGTGGAGCAGTTTTTCATTCATGTAAAGCTGAGGAGCATCGCATGTTATGTCCACTTGAAAGAGTGCCTTGTTTGAATAGTGGCTTTGGATGTCCTTTCATAGTAGCCCGAAATAAAATCGCTGATCATCTAGAAGTTTGTCCTGCAAGTGTGGTGTGTTGTACTATGGAGTGGAATAGATGGCCAGTCAGTTACGCAGACCGAAAATCTTACGAAAATCTGAGTAAAGATGTTGATGAAGTGGAACAGCTAGACATGGCTTTAGCTCTTCAAGACCAGCGCATGTTATTAGAATCACTTAAAGTAGCAACTATGATGTCAAAAGCAGGTGATCAAATACCAGAATCCAGAGAGCAAACCTCTGTCAAATCAAGTGCCCCAGATACAGTGCATTCAAATGGCTTGATGCCTGTAGATGAAGAGTCCTATGGTGCACTTTATCAAGCTACTGTAGAAACAACAAGGAGTTTAGCTGCTGCTCTGGATATCCTGAACACTGCTACAAGGGACATTAACATGTTAAGTTCAAGGCTCTGCATTTCACCACATGAAATGAAAGAAGATACTGAGATTAAAGAACAAGCTTCTAATGGCATTATTCAGGATAAAAAGTCTGACCATGAATATCCAGATGAAGACAACATAGGAGCAGTTGGGGGAATTAACTTTGATAGTCTGAGTCAAAATTCACAAATGGAGCAAAATGGTTCTAGTGATATTTGTTATGATGTGGTGCAAAAACATGACTTGAATCTAAACCTCAATAACTCCTCAGTTTTGTGTAATGGCTTTCATGTAGAAAATGAATGTTCAAAGGTGTTGGACCAGAGTGAAGATCTTGGTGCACCATCCAGTGTAGCAAATGGTGAATGTACTGCATCTCATGAGGATGAAGCATTACAGTCCTGCAGTTCCTTCCCTGTAACGGCACAACTTAAAGAAGTATTGCCAGCTGATCACTTAGTTAATGGCAATGTTAATCATGTCCTACTTCCCCATAATGCTATCGAAGAAGAAATGTTGGAGAGACAAGTGGAGCAAGAAAGGTTGAGAAACGTAGATGCGTTTTCACTTCTACGGCATCGATCATACAAATTCCTTGTTAACCACTATTGGTCTACACCAAAAGAAGACAAAGCTGTTGATACGTCCGATTTGGAGATAACAGAAGATCCTATGGGTCTTCAGGGGATTGATCTAATCACTGCAGCTCTGTTGTTTTGCCTAGGAGACTCTCCCGGAGGTAGGGGGATATCAGAAAGTCGCACTGTCGATGTGTATCACGTTGACTTTGGGACCCAAACATTTTCTCTCCCATCTGCTATACTGGCCACAAATACAATGGTGGGGGAAATAGCTTCAGCTTCTGCATGTGATCATGCCAACCCGCAGCTCTCAAATCCAAGTCCATTCCAGACCCTGGGACTGGATTTGGTATTGGAATACGTGGCTAAATACCAAACAAACCAGCATTCAATGTTTACATTTGTTTGTGGACAGTTGTTTAGGAGGAATGAATTTTCATCGCATTTTAAGAATGTGCATGGTGACATTCATGCCGGCCTTAATGGCTGGATGGAGCAGAGGTGTCCTTTGGCATATTATGGGTGTACATATTCTCAACGAAGGTTTTGCCCTTCAACACAAGGGGCAAAAATTATTCATGACCGCCACTTACGGTCGTTTGGAGTTCAGCCGTGTATATCCACAGTATTAGTAGAACCAGCAAAAAGCTGCTTAATTGGACTACACAATGACCATCTGAGTAGTCTACCTTTTGAGGTTCTGCAGCACATTGCTAGTTTTCTAGATGGCTTTAGTTTATGTCAGCTTTCAAGAGTGTCACGTTTAATGAGAGATGTGTGTGGGAGCTTGCTTCAAGCACGTGGAATGGTGATACTCCTTTGGGAGAAGAGAAAGTACCCAGATGGAAGTTCTTCTTGGCAGATAAAAGAAAAGGTAAGTAATTTTTTATTTCAAAGGTGAAAGGGAAGGCATTAAATTGGTCATGTCTCTGCTTTTTCCCCTTAATATTTTCTTTGATCACTACTGATATTACTGTTTTTTGATATAATATCCCTTCAAGAAACAGATTGTTACATAGAGCAATTAGTGAAAATTGCTAGCAGATTGGTTCAGTCTTCTCCACACTTGAAGAAGTAGAAGTCAAAATAGCATCTGTCGAGTTTTTACTTGATGTAAATAAATTAACCCCTTTCCCAAGATTTTACAATACTAAAGGATTACTTTTCTTTAATATCAATATTCCATGAAAGTAGGAAAGTTGCCTGCAAAGTTTGCTTTTCTTGCCTTTATAGTGTTTAGAGCAATTTTAATTTTTGCTCATCTGTTGAGATCCTATCCATTGCCATGATATTGAGTGCCTTAAGTATGTAAATAATTCTTAAAACCTTTGGGTGACCTTTGTATAGTAAAGTTTTCACCATTTCCATCCCCCACCCCGCCTTCCGCAGAACTGCAGAGTATCTGCAGCAGTAATTTGGAATTGCTTAAGTTGATCGTTTCAGAAATAGATCATTTTGACTGGTCATGCAATACTTCATCATTTACCTTCTGACCATCTACTTTGTAGATGCAGAAAATATTGCCTGCCTTTCTTCCCAATATTCAGAGTCGACAATATTCCAAGTCGACTTGGAATCAGCCTGGGCCTGGCTATACAAAATTTATCATTGTACATTTGTGTCATGTTGATTTTTTATATGATTTATAGTAGACATGAAACATTGTCTGAAAGTGTTATAGCACAAACATTTAATTTCCTGCTCTGAGTTCAGGTATCTTAAAATACTTTGAGCCTAAGTGCAACTTATTTTCTAGGTTTGGCGCTTCAGCACGGCCTTTTGTACTGTGAATGAGTGGAAATTTGCTGACATCGTAAGCATGGCTGACCACTTGAAGAAATGTAGCTATAATGCTGTAGAGAGAAGAGAGGAGGCTGTTCCACTGCCATGTATGTGTGTAACACGAGAACTCACTAAAGAAGGACGTTCACTGCGCTCTGTTTTGAAACCAGTACTTTAAATATTGCAACCACTCCAATTGCACATACACTCAAGCACCTGATATAACCTCGGTAATATTACGTGACACTTTATTAATGTGCTAAAGATACTTTCTAGCTAAATCTACTCTGTCACTGTGTATATAAGGTTTGAAGTGACATTTATTTTTTATAATACTGTTTAGCTGGAAAGTAATGAAAGTTGCCTTAACGTTCGAAAAATTCGGAACTTGCTGGACAGGGTAGTTTTATCTAACTTATATAATTTAAGAACAACATCCTAAGGTGTGTTTTCTGATTCACTGGTGCCCATGTTGCTGTTGACTGATAACATTTCAAAAATGGCCTCTAAATGGTATGCTCATTTAGATAGGAAACACTGAACTGTAGTGAGAAAACATCCTGGCCAAATGTACTTTCTGTATTTGGTCTATTTTTTTTAACAGATTATAATACCAATATTTGAAAGATAAAGAAGAATTCAAAACTTTATAGTAGATGTCTCAAACACAGCTTTTAAGCACATCTTTTCTCATGAAATCGGTGTTCTAGTGCTCCTCCTAGTTAACAGGTGATCTAGGATCAGCTTTTTTTTAATTTTTTCTTTTTTTTTTTAGGAATGATCTAAGTGAGCTCAGATTTACAGCAGCTTCATTTTTAGTACAACTTTATTTTGACATGTCAACAATGATTATTTTTCTTCTGAACTATTAACAGTTTTTTCACTTTTGGGAGCAAAACTTTTAGAGCTAAAAACATGGAATACTAGTTTTTACTCTTGCACCTACAATGCCATCAATATAAAATGTTTAAAATGTTTTTCCTTGTCCTACAGTTGGCTAAGAGTTAAATTGCTTGAGCAGTCAGAAATTCAAAGTATATGATGAACAGTTATAAACTTATAATGCAGCTAATGAAAGGGCTTTACTTGTTTTATGGTATTGTGAGATGTATTGTCTCCTTTTCTGTTAATTTGTCTATAAAAATGCTGCTTTTCTGAGGAGCATTTTAAATTACAGGTATGTATAGCAAATGTATCATCTTCATAAGATGAGACATAATTTGCTAATTGCATAAGGCATATCAGAAATGTGTGTTCAACCACATCTGTTAAATGAACAACTCCAATTTGCTTCCAGTCTTCCATAATAAAAAAGCATTTCTTCTTACAAAGCATTTCTGAACAGAGAGCACATGCTATGAAAAATGGCCTGGTATAGCAAAACTATAATAACTTGAACTGACTTTCCAACTTGTTTGTATTAATGTTGGTGTCTCTAGCCCGTTGCACTTAGCAACTGTGCCACAAAGCTAAAACAGAAACAGACCAGAGCTTGGAACAAAGAAATACAGTACGTATTTCCATTGTAGGAAAAAATAAGAGATTAGTAAGGAGGAGATGTTTACAAAAATGGCTAAATTTATTACTTGTAATTTCTGTAATGGACACTTGTTTATGGCTAGTCTGGCTGCAGTTCACAACTTTGGTATCTGTGCATTTCCCATTCTGGGTCCAGTCCAGCTAAACATTCACTGCCTTATTCTATCCAGAGTGCTACAGGTGCCCAGAAAAAGATTAAGTCTAGTTCTTCAGTGCCACGAGTTGAAATTATAAGAGCACAGACAGAAGTTCTGCCTGGGTCTTCAAACTACATCTCTTTCCACGCTTCCTCTTTTTTTGTTTGGAGAGAGGAAAGGAGTAGACCCTCTACAGAAGTTAGCAATATTTGCAGTGATTTTTAGCTGTTACCACAGTTACGTGGAAAGGAGAATATAGATTCACGTACAAATCTGACTATACCAACTGGGTTTTAGGTAGGGATTTTAACACCCCTCCTGCCCCCCACCCCCCGCCCAGAAGCAATTTGTGCTTATTACCCACATATTCTTCAGTATAAGGCAGGAGACAGACTTCCATCAGTTCTTGTCTTTTAGCTCTAATGGCTCCTTGCTGCTGTTCTCCAGTGTTTAAAAGTAGTTGTGTGACTGGAAGGATCCTGAATGTTGAGGAGTTTATGGTTGCATTTATGGTTAAATCTATTTTAAAACATGTGTCTTGGGTTACTGGCATTTTTTAGTCAGCAATGTGGTTGTTTTGGTACTTGGCATTCTTTGTAACTACCAGAACCCTGGTAAGTATGGTAGGCAAGCATGTGTCTCGGTTGCTTAGGAGAAGAAGGTATTCAGTTAGAGGAGCTGGTGTTGGTAGAATCTTGGTTGTAGCACAGTGCAGATCTACATCTAAAGTATCATCAGTTGTTGATCTATTAAAATGAACTTTTAAAGTACTTGGTGTTCTTCTTAAGAAATAACACTATTTCTCAATACATGCACTTTTGTTTTCAAATGTAGATGCAGGCTTTTTTGTTAAATTAGTTTATTTTTTATGAGAATCCAGAGCTATTAAAATATCAATGTTGTAAACAAAATCTCTGCCTTGTAAACTGCTCCAGATGCAGGAATACAATATAGTTAGGATAAAAACTTTTTTTTTTTTACACTGCTATGCAGTTTGTAAGACATGTATGGTGTATAGTCAGTCTATCAAAATGTGGCTTGTTCACATTTGCCCTTGAATTTTAAAAATGTCGTATCCCTTTCCTGGTACATCTTCCTTACAGCATATATAGACAGCTGTTCCAGTCTTTCTTTTACTTGATACCACATTGCTACTTTGTTTAAAATATTATGTTTTCAATCATTATGCAATATTTTTTTGCAATGTCTGTTGAAATCCTAATAAAACTTTTTGGAGTTTCTCTTTTAGTATGATTGTACTTTTTTCAAGGCTTGTCACCAACCTTCCAGTGTTCAAACATGGTGTTCAATGTCTGCCTATCGGATTCCAGTAAATACACAGAAAATCCAAGTTATATAAAGGAATCTATATGCAAACTAAATTTAAACATTGCATAATTTGGAAGTGTATTCACATTCATATCATTATGAAGATAAGTCATTCCTTTTTAGACTATACACCCATTTCTATTGCTTTAGTCTATTATGCAGCATAGATTTCCTTCCACAATTAATTAAAGATTGAACAACATAACATAGAAGACTCATATTGTACTTGTAAGTTTGTTTTAATTGGTTTTTGGAATAATAAATTGGAAAGATTATCTGATCAACATGATACACACACTGCCAGTTCTCAAAGAACATTTTCAGTGCATTGTCTCATGAGTAAAGTTTCCTGTAGAAAGTTGTTGCTCAGAATGGTACAGAAACAAAATCTAGGGTGGTTTTTAGATAATAGTTATAGTTCAGACTGTTTGGGGAATGGCAAAACGTAAACCAAAATCTCATTAAAATAGAAGACTTTGCCCAGAAATTGACCTTTTGCCCTGCCATTTGCTAATGTGAGTTTGCTAATAGTCTTCACAAATAAAAATGTACCTATACTACATAAATCTGATAATAAATTAATCTAAACTGTGTCGAGTAATATGGTGTGACTCATGGTTTAATTTCAGCCATTACAAACTTGTGGCTATTTTACTTTTTAGACAGGCCACATTAGCCTTTTGTTTTTCTCTCTTCGTAAGTGGATTAGATACACTGATGTGTAAGGAGATATTTTCTGTCTCACTTTAACTTTCTTGATGCTTAAAGTATCTTAGAGGATTTGCCTGTATGTTTTAGCTTGTTTTTCTGAGAATCCTGTTGCTACAACAATCTTCATAGGCTCTTACCTGCTGAATGTACTTCCCTAAAAGAGATTTAAGTTCAGTGAAGAATTTGATGCTTGCTGTAATATCAGAAAGCTGATTTAAATTCTTTCAGTCCTTTCAGGCATCTTTGATCATCTTCAGATGAGCAAAATCTTGTGGTTGTTTACAGCACTGAGGAAAAAATAACATTCAGGTAGCTTTTATAAAAGGTTATGGCATGTTAAGCCGAGACAGTTTGAAGAATGGGATTCTCATAGTGTGACTGTTTGGCATGTGGTGCATATTGTAGCAGTAATCCAAACTGGAGGGGAAAACTGAATGGAGAAGTAGGCTTAAAATAACAAAGGCACCCAGTCCCAGCATAGAGACTTCTGAGGGACTATGTTCATGAGAGTGCTGGGAGTTTGACTTGTGCATGCCGCAACTGTGTTTTACTGATGATTTATCAGTCTTCCCATGATGGCAGGAATTACCCTGCTGCTGTTTGAGCTCTATAATGTGCTTTAGTTGTACACTGTCTCCAAGTGCTGCCTGTATTCCTGAATCAAGTAGTAGTTAAGTTGAATGCAGTCCTCTGCTGAATACAAGGTATGTATTCAGTGTAGGTTCTACATGCTGGTGGTGTCAGAGGCAGTATTTGGTAAGAATAATAGAAGAATAAGGTCCTTCAGGTATGGAAAATTCATCTGCATGGTTTCCATCAGTGTTTGCCAGAAAAAGGGAACAAAAATGTGTTAGGGAATGCAAGGAGCAAAATAAGAAGACTGATAGCACTTATTATAACTTGGCAATGGCCTGGTAGTTGAGAAAACGTTATCAGTCATCATTAGATGCACTATGAAATGTGACAGCAAAAGTCCACACCTCTATCATTTTTACAAAATAAATTCTGCAACATATGCAGTAGCAGGTATGCAGGCTGGTAATAGCCTCAGGTAGTAAAAAATGTATACACAATAAGCATGTATTATTTTAACTGCCAAAAAAAGGCTAGAATTTCTTGATGTATGGATTCATATAAGGCTAGATTTGTAGAATCAATCAGAAAAATATGATTTCTGCCTTGAGGATTTTTCAGTGTTCTGGTGCTCAGTTTCCTCATAAACTGTGCTGACATCTACTTATTTTAAATCATAAAATGAATTAACTGCAGAAAGATAGTAGTAGAAAAAGTTGCAATGACCTTACAAAATTATTTCAGTTTGACAGTGTCAGAATGTAGTATTGAACTGAGAATTTTACAGCATAAAAAACCAGAACACAAAAAGTAGGTTTTAATATATACATTTCATTTAAAATTTGTTATTTTTTCCCCCCATAAGGAAAAAAAAAAAAGCATGTAACAA